GTGTAAAAAGGAGAAAGCAAGCTGAGCACTGGCGAGATGAGCACTAGCATGCATCCATCTCTCTATTTCTGATTGTGGATGTGATGTGACCAGTTGCTTCAAGCTCCTGCTGCTCTGATTTCCCCACCATGATGCACTGTACCCTTGAACTATGAGCCAGAATAAACTTTTTCCCCATTGAGTTGCTCTTGTCAAGTTATTTTTCTAGCAACAGGGGAAAAAAACACAAACACTTTGTCCACTGAGCTGTCTCCCCAGGCCAGGACCTAACATCCTTGGCAAGTCTCCCCTACTTCCATGCTAATTTTAAAGACAAACTAAAGCCAGTCCAATGTTATATATAGGCTACATGCTCATTACTCTTTCTGGATTTTCTCCGTCTTCTCAGGTAACAGGGTGATACCAGACAAGATCACCAAGGAAAAATGGTCTATGTGCCCATCAAGGCAAGAGTTAAACCAAGCACAGTGGCACATGCCTGTAGTCTCAGCTGCTTGGAAGGCTTAGGCAGAAGGATCATTTGAGCCCAGTTCAAGGCCAGCTGGGGCGACATATCAAGACTCTGTCTTCTTTAAAAAAAAAAAAAGATAACTGAGTTTCACAGCTAAGAACTTAGGAAACCTACCTCTCTAAGCCAAAAAGCACATATTCAGGCACTGAATGTTGGCTAGGGATGTAGCTTAGTGGCAGAGTGCTCACCTAGCATGCACAAAGCCCTGGGTTCCAACTCTAGCACTGCATAAACCAGGCATGATGGTGCACACTTGGAATCCCAGTTCCCACAAGGTAGATGCAAGAGGAAGATCAGTATTTCAAGGTCATCCTTAGCTGCATTGCAAGTTCAACAGCAGCTTTGGGATATATAAAATAATCACAAAAATAATGTTACAGAATACACACAAATCCAACACATATGCATGCATGCACACACAGGAGAAATCTCACAAGCAGGAAGCCTTTGTAACAAAACACCTTCAGATTCACCTTCTAGTCATCACAGCAGAGTGGCCCTGGTACAACTTTTGACCCTCCCAAGCCCGTAGACACTTGAGCATGACATTTAACAAATGGAATTAAGCATCCCCCACCTTCCATTTATCTGACTCACCATCCTGACTCCCATCCTACACACTTCCTGCTCCCTAGAGGTTAGAACCTCATTACTAGTACAAAGGAACAAACGCTAAAGGTATTGTCATTTCCAATGAGTTCGTGTGGCTTTGAGACTCTCCACAGCTCTTTGCCTCAACCCCCACTTTCTGCCTAGAGAACAACAGAAGCAGATCCCCAGCCACCCTGCACTGCACAGGGATCATGAGTCAGAAATAAACTAATCTATGCCTATGGATCGATTTGGCAATCTTGGTTCAACAATGCCCAACCTAACCTACCCTAACACACAAAAATCACATTACTCTCAGACTGTGAAATTTCATGTTATAAACCTCTTGACCAGTTCAATATCCAAGACCCACATAGTGGAAGGAGAGAACAGACTCCTGTAAGTTGTCTGACCCTCACATGTGCACTGAAACACACAAATGTAGATGAGAGGACAGGAAGAATGCAAGATGCAGAAGACAGGGAGAGAGCTGTGAGGTTCTACACAGTCAATGCAGTCTTGATCTCACAGCACAGTGGCTGCCTGCAATGGGCTTGCACAAGGCTGTTTTTTAGAGGGGAGGGGAATGGTATATGGTGTTGTACATGTGAGTATGGATATATGAACACCTGTGCACAGGCAGAGGCCAGAGGAGGATGTCAAGTGTCCTGCTCTATCGCTCATCACCTCATTCCCACAAGACAGCATCTCTCACTGAACCTGGAGCTTACATTTTTCAGCCTAGCTGGTAGCCAGCATGCCCCAGCAATCCTCCTGTCTGCCCGCAACAGCACCAAAGTTACAGGCATTTGTGGCCATGCTCGAATTTTTTTTTTTTTTTTTTTTTAGAAAGGGTTCCCCTGTGAACCCAGATGGCCTGAAAACCACATTGAAAACACAACAAGGCTAATTTTCCAAAGAGTCTCCCTCCCCCCCCCCCCACAATGTGGGGAATAAAAATTGGTTTACATTTTTCAGCCTAGCTGGTAGCCAGCATGCCCCAGCAATCCTCCTGTCTGCCCGCAACAGCACCAAAGTTACAGGCATTTGTGGCCATGCTCGAATTTTTTTTTTTTTTTTTTTTGAGACAGGGTTCCCCTGTGATCCCAGATGGCCTGAAACTCACTATGCAAACCACACTAGGCTAATTCTCACAGAGATCTGCCTGCCTCTGCCTCCCAAATGCTGGGAATTAAGATGTGTGCCACTATACTGGGTCTTTTTTTATTTTTTAAGACAGGATCTCGGGCTAGAGAGACACGCAGCTTTTAAGAGCACTGGCTGCTCTTGCAAAGGACCTGGGTTCAAATCCTGGCACCCACATGGTGGTTAACAACCATCCATAACTCCATACTCCAGTTCCAGGGGATCCAACAGCCTCTTCTGTCCTTCATGAGCATTGTACAACATGGGTGCAGTTACAAATATGCAGGCTGCAGGCATAACACACACAAAATAAAAAGGGTTTATTCATATTTTATTTTTATGTGTATGAGTGTATTGCCTGCATGTAGGTGAGTGCATCCTGGAACTGGGAGTTAAGGATGGTTCATAGCTGCCATGTGGGTGCTGGGACTCGAACCCGAGTCCTCTACAAGAGCAGTGCTCTTAACCACTGAGCCATCTCTCCAGCCCCCTAAAAATAGTTTTTTAAAAAAGACAAGATCTCACTGTGTTGCCCTGGCTAGGCTGGAACTCACTATGTAACCCAGGCTGGCCTTGAACTGACAGAGATCTACCTGCCTTTGCTGGGACTTTTAGTTCATCACCCCCAGCTCAGCTTTTTTTTTTTGCTTGGATACTGGGGATCTGAACTCAGGTCCTCATGATTATGCAACAAGTGCTCTTCCCACTGAGCCATCTCCCCAGCCCCTAATCCATTAAACCATGCTGTTACTGAATTTCTACCCTCAGCTTCTGCTCACATCTTCTACAGGGAGTGCTTGCTTACTTCTGACTGGCCCAGTGGGCTGCTGCACAGCATCACCCCCCAACACACCCCAAAGCAATGCTTTAACTCCCAGAGCCCCCTGCAGACCATGTTCCCTCCTCTACTCCCCAGCTGAGTTAACAGCAGCGAGGTCACTTGAGTTACCCAGCCTATCCTCATTCCACCAACCAGCACTGGCAATTTTACACACCTTTAACAATGCTTACTACAGTGACTACAGTGACCTTGGCAGTTAATCTTGTCAACTTGACTGGCTGGGCCTGTGATCTATTGAGACATACCTCTGTGCAGGTCTGCAAGGGTTAACTAGGGATTAAGGGAAGAATACCCTCCCCCAGGTAGGTAGCACCTAGCACCTTCTGGCAGAAGACCAGGTACAGAGGTCTGAGGGAAAAGCAAAGCTCTTGCCTGCCTGCCTTCACTTCCTGCTGGTGAGTACATCTACCCTGTTCCTGCTTTACAAGCCTTTGCTGACAGAATTCAGTTTCTTCAGCCTTCCAACGTCGAGGCTAGTGGCTCTCCAGGAATCATCCAGGCTTTCGGGTTCCAGATTGAGAATGCTGTTGAATCCAGCTTTGGCAGACCAAGAAGGCAGAGTCCCGAGCCTCTGCAGTGCACAGCCAGCCACTATTAAGACTAGCAAGTCCATACCATGTAAGCCAATCTATATTCATTTCCTGGGTTCTTCTCCTCTAAAGAACCCTAATAAGAGGAGACTAAGAAAATTTATTTTAGGCTCAGGAAAACCCTACCCTAGTGCCCTAGTGTCAGACATGGTCATGGTGCACCAGCTAAAAAGGGGAAAAACAGCTTAGTTCAGATAAAGGCTCAAGGAACCCAGTCAGGGCAGCTCTTCGAAGCCTACACCAATGCTCTGGGACACGTCTTTCTGAGTATACCAATTTTTTTTTTTAACATTTGTATGTGTGCACATGCACACACATGCATGTGCACATGTGGAGGTCAAAGGACAATTTGTATTCTCTCCATCTACCATGTGGGTCCCAGAAATTAACTCAGGTCATCAGGTATGGTGGTTTGAATGAGAATGTCCCCCACAGGTTCCAAGTACTTGAACATTTTGCCCCCCAGTTGGTGACATTGTTTTGGGAGGTTTTCAGAGGTACAGCCTTGCTGGAGGAAGCACGTCACTCGACACAGGCTTAGAGAGTTCTTAAGCCTTGTCAGATTTTCAATCACTGCTTCCTGTGCCTGCTTGGAGATGATAGCTCAGCTTTCTGCTCCAGCCGCCTCTGCCATCATGCCTCCCCTGCCATTATGGACTGGTCCCTCTGGAAGACAAATTCTTCCTTATATAAGTGGCCTTGGTCACAGTGTTTTGTCACAGCAACAGAAAAGTAATACATCAGGCTTAGTAACACATGCCTTTACCTGCTGAGCTATCTCACCAGCCCCTATTCGGTTTTCTAAAATTGAAAAAAATAAGTAATTCTGGGACTGGGGATTTAGCTCAGTTGGGAGAATGCTTGCCTAGCATAAACAAAGTCGTAAGTTTGATCCCCAGCACAGGATAAAGTAGGTGTGGTGGTACACACCTGTAATCTTAAACACTCAGGAGGTAGAGGCAGGGGGATCAAAAGTTCAGTTATCCTCAGCTACATAGTGAGTTGGAGGCTAGCCTGGGCTACATGAGACACTGTATCAAATAAATAATTCTGTGGGTGTATATAGTAGAGTGTCTGTTTAGCTCATGTGAGTCCCTGGCTTCAATACATAGGCTACACACACACACACAAAAAAAAGTACACTAAAACCAGAGCCAAGGTTTCTCGACATCTTCATTTCAAATCCTTGTAATCCCCCAATTGAGGTAGACCACACAGATGTTCCCCATACTTCATATAAATCCCTGGGGGTGGCGGGTGCCCTAGTATTGTCACCACACAACAGCACATGCTCATCACTCTAGGCTTTTGCAGCCTCAAAGAAATATTAACAATTTATTCTCCACAGGAAGAGTTCTCACAGCAACACAGGAAGGTACAAAGAGACCAAAAACAGTTTTTATTGCTTTACAAGCCAGCAACAAACACAACTAAATAATTATCAACATGACACTTTAAACTCTCAAATGGAATTCAAAAACCAGAATACTCCTCCACTTTAAGTGCAATTTAATTGCAATTGTTCAAGAGCCTGGTGGGTGGCACTGACCTAGAGTCCCAGCTGCATGGCAGGCTGAGGCAGAAGGAGGACCTGACCCAGGAGTTTGCGGACCCGGCCTCCTATCTCTAGAACAGTGGAACAAAAAAAAAAAAAAAAAAACTTACAACTTCAGGAAGAACTTTACTACTCTCAAACAGAATCCACACAAAGCAAGGTATCGAGACACTTCCTGTCTCTCTTCCTGTCTCCCTCTGACCATGTAACTGTAAAGCCTCTCATGCTCAAGCCAGCCAGTGATTGCTGCACATGTGAAGTGACCTTCCTGGGCACTTTTCAAACCTAACCCTACATTCAGGAGGTAGGGGCAGGATTTCAAGCTCCAGGCCAGCCTGGGCTAATTATTAGCAAGACCCTGTCTCAAAAAGCAAACTAACAAAACAATAACCTAATAACTTATTCTAACTCTACAAAAAGAACTGCAAGAAAGCTTGTCTAAAAATCCAACAATATCTTACATCTTACATCTCATCTCTACTCCCATCGTCACGATGGGAAATAATAATCAGACTTTGATCTCCACTGTAGAATGGGGGATTGAACCCAGACCTCAAACAAGCAAGGCAAGCACTCTATCACTGAAAAGCACCCCTAGCCCTCTATTTGAATTTATTTATTTTTAATCTTTTTATTTTTGCCACAGGGTCTCATTCAATTACCCAGGTTGGCCTTGAAGCTTTGAACGTGCCATCCTCCTGCCTCAGACTCCTAAGTAAACCTGGCAGTACAAGCCTGCACCTTCTCCCACTTTGCAGTGAGTCTTTAACCATGGGCAGTGCTCAACATCCCAATGCACAAACAGGAAACCCAAACTAGTATGAAGCAAGAAAGCGACACTCCCAAATATTTCCTGTTATACTGAAAACACTAACAGCTTCCTTTCACACAGTACAAAAACTGTTGAGTTTTCTTTTTTTTTCCCAGTGCTAGGGATGGAACCCAGTGCTTCACACCTACTAGGCATGTGCTCTACCACTCCAGCTACATCACTAGCCCTAATTATGGCTAGTAATTTTAGTTCCACCCCGAAAATTACCTGGTAAATATTTGTTTTGTTTTTGTTTTCTGAGACCAGGTCTCATAGTAGCCCCAGCTGGCCTGAAACTTGCTATGTAGACCAGGCTGGCCTTGAACTCACAAAGAACCACCTACCTCTGCCTCCCAAGTCCTGGGATTAAAGGTGTGCACCACCCTACCTGGTCAACCTTAACACTATCTGAAAAATGAAGTGGATGGGAACACCCACAAAATTTACATGACTTGCCCCACACTGTACATTTAGAACCTACTGAGATAGCTATCAAAAACCTAAATTTATTTATTCATTTAATTTTTTTATGTGTATGAGTGTTATGTCTGCATGTGTATAACTGCACCTGTGTCGTGCAGTGCCCGTGGAGGACAGAAGGTGTTGGAACCCCTGGAACCAGAGTTATGGCTGATAACCGTTATGTGGGTGCTGGGATTCAAACCTGGGTTTTCTGCAAGTACAGTTGGTGCTCTTAACCGCTGAATCACGTCCCAGGCCTCTACCCCCTGCAAAAAATGGAATTTCTTATCCCAAAAAACACTATCAATCACATGGGATTTTTTTTTTTTTTTAAAGCCAAGTTTTACTTTCTTCCACACCAAACACAGCATTGTTCTGTAAGAACAAACTCCTGGGTGCCAAAAATAATACATGATGACTTTCTACTCCAAGACCAGAGGGTTTAGTTGGCTATTAAAAGGTTTCATAGTTTAGGAATCTATTACATGAAGTGTTAGTTTAAGAGCTGTATGAAGATTGAAGATTATTTTAATTGCTGTGACAGCCAGACATTAAGGCAACCTCAGAAAGCAGGGTATTCTACACTAAGATCTGCTCCCCGCCTGGTACAGCCCAACAGAAGACGTTACTAAACCTCTTAACAGAAAACCTTCCAAACTAATGTTCTGAGCTTGCCTTTGCAGTTTCATCTTTTGTATTTTGATGGCAGTAAAAAAGACCTGGGGCTCAAATTCCCTTGACAAAAAATTTAACGTGACTAACTCGAAAGGCTTAAATTAAGAAAGGGAAAATAAGTTTTCCTTGCTTGCCAACCATTTTTTTTAAGGGTCTATTTTCACACCGTACCCAGGCTACAACTGGGAATGGAGAGCTAATAGGAAGGACCTAGAAAACATCAAAGGTCACTTCTGGAAGAATCACAAACGAGACGGCAAACTTGTCAATAGGTACACCAACACTCAGGTAAGCAAAGGGATTTTTACCAAGAGACTGACATACTTCTGACAGACCTGAAACAATCAAAGCAAGTTCACTGAAACTAACAAGGAAAATTCTGTCCATGGAAAGGCTATTTTTTTAAGCTCCAAAAAGTGTTACAATTCTGATACACCACACAACTGGTTAAGAAAATAAAGCGCAGTGTTTAGCAACCAGGCATGACAACTACGGGAAGAGGCACTCTGTGCTCGCCCTCCTTGGCAACTGCCCAGGTCAGCAAGGCCAGCCGCGGGAAGAGCCTCCTATTTTTCACCACAAGCTGCTGCTGTCTCCTTATTGAAGCCCCGGATGGAGAGATCGTAGACCACCTCCTCTACTTTCTTCACATCGTACTTCAATCCATCATAGCGCTTCCTCAGGGAGTCGTTTTTCAGATTGAGAAGGCGGAAACCGGAATCCAACTCGTTGATGAAAGTGGAAATGTGGAGGGGCCGCGAATAGTCTCCAGCGGTCACACTGTTGACAGACAGCCTTGACTGCACAGGAGAGAGAACAGGGCACATTATAATGTGGCTCCTTCCTCAGCACCTTGTTCTGAATTACAGCCAGAACCTGAGGGCTAGACAGCTACACTGATGCCCTGAATCACACTCAGTCTAGACAACTCCACTGATGCCTTATTTTCAAGGTACATATAAGCACATTAAAATAGAAGTTGCTCTAAAAAGAATGCCACCTGAACTGAGAGAATGTCTGCTAGCCATGGTCAAAGAAATTGGCACCTTCTAAAATTTCTCTAATGTGGGGACTGGAGAGATAGCTTAGCGGTAAAGAGCACTGACTGCTCTTGCAGAGGACCCGGGTTCAGTTCCCAGCACTCACATGGCAGCTAACAACCATCCATAACTTCAGTTCCAAGGGATCTGATGCTTCCTTCTGACCCCCACGGGTGCACTTACATACATACAGGCAATACGGTCATACACACAAAATAAAATATTTTTTAAATAAATAAAATTTCTCTAATGCATTTAACTGGTTATTGTGGAATAAAGTATATTAAATCAAACAAGCGTCAACAGTACAGCTCACAAGCTAATACACAGAAGAAAGAAATGTCAGGGCCACTGTAGCAGCTGTGCTATCTTTGTTTTGTTTTGTTTCTTTGAGACAAGGTATCCCTGTAACCCCAGCTGGCCTGGAACTCGCTACATAGACCAGACTGGCCTCAATCTCAGAGACCCACCTGTCTCTGCCTGCCAAGTGCTGGGATTAAAGGCATGTGCCACCATGCTCCGCCTTATGCTAGCTTTTCAAACCTAGGATGAATGATTTCGTATCTATTACCCACCACTGAGGGTCCATCTGGTCACCTATGATCATAAGACAGAGACAAAGTGTAAGCAGCCAAATTTAAGTCAATTCAATGTTGTCTTGAAAGATAACTCAAGAGTCCCTTCTCCACAAAATCCTTCCCATTCTTCCAGGCTTCCCTGAACTTCTCATGTAGTTCATCCAACACACATGGTCTCTCTCCATTTCTGTACTCAGAACACCTCAAATTTTCATCAACCTTTTCTACCCAAACCCCTAAAGATCTGCTTCCCACAATGAATACAGGAGAATAATTGTTTTGTTACATTTTGCCACTATGGAAATGGAACACAAGCCTTCAGCATGCTAGGTAAGCAGTTTATCACAGAGCTACACTGGGCCCCCAGGCATTAGAATGCTAAGTAGAAGTTAGCTGGGGATGTATAGCTCGGTTGGTAATTGTCTAGCGTGCACAAGGCCCTGCATTCAATCCCAAGCACCACATGAACCAGGCATAATGCCCCATGTCTGTAATCCCAGCACTCAGGAGGTGGAGGCAAGAGGAGTTCCTTGTCTATATAGCAAGTTCAAGACCAGCCTGGGTTTCAGAACACCTAGTCTCAAGAAAAAGTTGTGTGGACCAGGGGTGATGGGGCACAACTTTAATCCTTAGGAGGCAAAAGGTGAATCTCTGATTCAAGGCTAGTTTGATCTACACAGTGAGTTCCAGGTCAGCCAGAGCTACATAGTGAGACCTTGTCTCAAATAAAGAAAAGATGGGTGGAGAACTTCAAACAAATGTCCTTCATATGAGTGGCCTTTCTTCCCTCCTCCCCCGTCCTCCTGGTTGGAATGGAGAAGTCAATTAAGAGAGCTTTATCAACAGTGCTCCAATACTGAGAAAAGAAGAAAGCTACAAAACACAAGGATCCAGGACCAAAGATCAAAAGAACCATCAGCCCATCCCTGAGCGGCTTTTCTCTGAAACAAACTTTTTCTTCTTTTTTTAGGAGGAATTGAGGGTAAGATAATCTCGCTCGCTTGTACTCCAGGCTAGCCTCCAACTCCCAGCAATCCTTCCGCTGAGCCTCTTAAGTTCTGAAGAAAACTGTCTCAAAGAACCAAATAACCCAGACACTGGGTCTGTGAGACGGCTCAGTGAGTAAAGGTGTTTGCCATCCAAGCCTGGCTACCTGAGTTCTATTCCCCAACCCCGTGTCAAGGTAGGAAAGCACAGACTCCACAAGATTGTCCTATGACTGCTACAACTCGCTGTGACACTCACATATCATACACATACATGTAATAATAATAATAATAAAGACAATGAACATTTCCCCTCTGCAGGCTGCATAGGCTCTGTTGTAAGGACTCGAGTCTGCTCTTGGCTACTCTGTGTCATCTACAGAATTATTTTTGTATGACAACGTTCTAAGGCAGATTAAGAGGACAGGATAAAAGCTAAAAATAATGCATCCAGGGGCTGCAGTGGTAGCACACTCCTGAAATCCTAGCACCTAGAAGGTGGAGCTGGATCTCCAGTTCCAGGACAGAGACTAAGACTACATAGTAAGACCCAGTCTCAAAAACCTAAAAGCTAAAATAAGTTACAGTCATAGAAACTATTCTCTAAAATTACTCTATAAATCAACATAGTTGCCAGGAATATATTATCTTGACACTACTGACAGAGGTATCATCCTCTTTTAATTAAAACTGTACATATTAGAACACTTGGGAGGCAGGGACAGGAGGATCAAGAGTTCAAAGTCATCTTTAGCTATATAGCTATATAGTGAATTCAAGACCAAGACCAGACCCCAGACCCTGTCTCAAAAAAAAAAAAAAAAAGCACCCAGTAGTAAATGTGCATACTCTCTCCCTTAGCATCTAAATTGACATTTTTCTGAACTTAACAGTTAACTACAACACAGTTAAGACCTCATGACTACTAGATGGTTTAGAAAAATAGTTTTGGTACTCATTTTAAAAACTAAGAATGGGGAGGCTGGAGTGATGGCTCAAAGATTAAGAACACTGACTGTTCTTGCAGAGGATATGGGTTTGGTTCCCAGCACCCACATGGTGGCCAACAACCATCCTTAACTCCAGTTCCAGGGGATCTGAGGCCCTCTTCTGACCTCTGTACATGGGCACTCCATGACATGGATGCACTTACATATGAGCAGACAAAACATACATAAAATAAAAATATATCAAAAAAAAAAAAAAAAAAGAGTGAATAGATTTGGTGGCACACACTATTAATTCCAGCACTTGGTAGGCAGAAGCAGGTGGATCTCTGTGACTTCAAGGCCAGCCTGGTCTACATAGTGAGATCCACTCAGGGAGACACTGTCTCAAAAAAAGACAAAAAAAGACAAAAAAAAAAAAAGGCAGATGGCACCTGAGAAAAGACAGTCAAAGTTGTTCTCTGGTCTCCACATGTGCTCACACTGGGGCACCTGCACACACATTATCCCCCTACACACACACACGCAACCAGCAAATTATTGAACTTCTTACCAGTTCACTAGCAAGAATTAAAACTCCTGAGAGATAATCTTCTACATCCAGATGAAATCCTTTCTCCCGATCTGGCTCAACTAAAAACACATCAAAATAAAGCCAGTCACCATGTGAATGCAATTTAAGCCAAAGAGTATAAATAAACACACACACACATATTTCTTTCAAAGTCAGTGAAGAAACGACAAGGAATCATTTCTAGCTTAGGGTGCTCCTCTATACACACCATACACTCCTCATGCTTGCCGCAAGCCTGACCACCTGAATTCAATCCCCAGGACCCAGATGATGGAAAGACAGAACCAATTCCTGTGAGTTGTTCTCTGACCTCCATACTAAAGCACTGTAGTGCAGTAACTTCCTCTGAGATAAAACCTTCCATCTTTGAGGAAAGCTGAATAAACAATAGGATGTTCTAAAGCAAGATAAACGGCAGAGAGTTTTGAAGGGAGGTGAAGCATTCCAACCTGCAGAAAAGCTCCTTAGGCTCAGGAAGTCCCCCAAATTGACCAAGTTCACTTGGCCCCTCCCTCCCCAAGCATATAGAAGCCTTAAGGACTAATTAAAAAAAAAAAGAAGCTCAGACCAGCCAAGCCACCTGGAAGAAGCAGAGACTAGCAAAGCTGTTTGGGAGAAACTGAGACCAGCAGAGCTATCTGAAGAGGCTCTGACCAACTGAGTTACCAGGAAAGGCCAGTCTCAACCTACTGAGCTGCCTACAGGGTTGTGTGCAGTGTGCTCCAGATTTCTTGCTTTCCTGAGCAGTCACCCATGCTGGGGTGAGCTTTGGAGATGCCACTATCTGTTGAGTCATTTCTGCTCCTGTAGGTAACCCCTCACCCATACTCCTATAAGTAACCCCAATAAAACTCATTGGTTCACCAAGTTGGATTTTGGTGGTATCCTTACTTTGATCTGTTCCCTATCTGGGGTGAGTATGAGTAGACATTTGTTCACATCTCCCCAGGAAGAGTCATAGTCACACACACACACACACACACACACACACACACACACACACACCACCCACACACACACACAAATCTAATTTTTTTAAAAAGTAGACATTGCCTAAAGAACAATACACAGGGCTAGCTATTCTTTGACCTCCACACGCACACATACACATGCATGCACATGAATACACATCCACAAGCACACACACAGAAACAGTCTCCCCACCAACACCTAAGCTAATATGCCTGATTCTGCAGATTGCACTAAGACACTTACTGCCAAGAATCTCCGTCACTGCCTCTCGTGTCACCAAGGTCTCTGTTTCCAAATAAACGACAAAGGCTGCCAGGAAGACCAAGCGCTGCAGCACAAACCTCCAGTGCTCGTGAAATCTGCATGAAAGGCACAGGCAAAGTACAAGGTCAGAACTTCCACAAGAAGTAATCAGCAAGGGCTTGTCTCAACAGTTTAGAAATGGGATTCTTTTGCAAACAAAATCTTATGTGAAACCCTGATATACAGAACAGATAAAAGCAACTAGGCACTCAAATACATTGAATACTTAATATTCACTTTACAAATTCAGATTTATAACATTTATTTACATGTTTAATTAATGAGAAGCATGAATCAATTTTTATCAATATGAAAATTTATACTAAAGGCTACAAATGAGAGCTGGGGATGTGGCTGACAGTGCTGTCTCCTACACAAAGTCCTAGGTTCTAGCTCTCACACAGCATAAACCAGGAATAGAGGTGCATATCTGTAATCCCAGCACTCAGGACGTAGAGGAAGAAGGATCACAAGTTCAAGATCCAGGTATGGTCAGGCATGATGGTATATGCCTTTAATCCTAGCTCAAAAGGCAGAGGCGGGCAGATTTCTGTGAGATCGAGGCCAGCCTGGTTGAGCTGGTGAGTCCCAGGCCAGCTGGGGCTACAGGGAAGCCCTATCTCAAAAAGATCAAAAAATAAGTAAAAATAAAAAGAGAAAAGGAAAAAAAAAATTATGAATGACTAAGTGTGCTGATGAAGTTTAATCAGTAAGAACTAAGAAAAATTAAATAAGCAATTAAAGACTGAAAACATCTTCAACTGTACGTCAACCTCAACATCCAACTTGTTCCTGCACTTTGAATGTAGGCTACCAAAATCCTAATTCACAAAATCATCATGCAATCACTAAACAAAGGCCACAAAACTCAAGAGACCACCAGATGAGCTGGCACACACTTGTAATCTCAGCACTCCGGAGGCCTCAGAATCTCCTAAATCCAGGGGTTCCAAACTAGCCTGGCCAACATAGCAAGACACCATCACAAAAACAAATGGCCTGTAAGTTTGAAGGAAAAAAAAAGCAGGAATTTCACCAGACACAGAAACACATGCTTTTAATCCCTGCATTCAGGAGACAGAGGCAGAGGCAGGTAGATCTCTGAGTTCCAGGTCAGCCTGGTCTACATCGCATGTTCCAGACCAGTCAGAGCTACGCAATGAGACCCTGCATCCAAAAATAAAAAGATGGGAATTTCTCAACCTTGAGTATTTATGCTGAGCCTTCTGATTTCCTTCTTTTTATTTTGTTTTCTAAGACAAGGTCTCACTATATACCCCTGGCTGGGCTGGAATCTGCTATGTAGACCAGGATGGATTTAAACTTCCATCAATCCTCCTCCCTCCGCCTCTCAAGTAATAAGATTACAGGTGTGTGCCACCATGTCCAGATTCTGATTTTCAAATATGGCAACAAATACAAAAATATCACTCATCTGGCACGGCAGCACACACTTATAATCCCAGCACTCAGGAAGCTGAGGTAGGAGGATCTCAAGTTTGAGGTCAGCCTGGACTAAAGAAAACTTGTGTTTGACTCGTGTCAAAAAGGAAAAAAAGCCAGCCATGGTGGCACATACTTGTAACCCCAGTATTTGGGAGGCTAAGGCAAGAGGCTCACCAATAGCCCAAGGCCAGCAAGGCCTACATAGCAAGTTCTAGGCCAGTTAGGACTACATAGCAAGACCTTCTCGCCAAAGAACCCAAGTGGGACTGGAGAGATGACTCAGCACTTAAAGAACTGACTTCTCTTGCCGAGGACCTAGGTTCAGTTCCCAGCACCCACTTGGCAGCTAACCAACTGTCTATACCTCCAGTTCCAGGGTATCCAACACCTTCTTTTGGCCTCCTCAGGCCCATGTACTTATATAGAATCAGGTAAAGCATCCATACAGATAAAATATAATTTAAAAAATTTTTTTAAAAGAACCAAAGTTAAAGCCAGGCGTGGTGGTGCATGCCTGTAGTCCCAGCACTCGGGAGGCAGAGACAGGCAAATCTCTGTGAGTTCAAGGCCAGCCTTGTCTACATAGTAAGTTCCAGGCCAGCTGGGACTACAGGGAGACCCTGCTTCAAAAAGACC